CACCCATTTGTCTTTGTTAGTTACTGCCTACACACTGAATTCCACCGGTCAAGGATTCTCACTAATACTCTGATAATTTCATCACGTAGCTAGTCACTACTGAGCACATTGTTTGTTCAGTACTTGTAGGTGTCAAATTTTTCATTAACATTTTTTTATCAGTATCACTTCGATTGCATATGCTTTTCAACTATTTAACTTTCTGTTGGCATATTTGTAAGCCTTAGATGATCCCTCAAATATCCGAACCTGTGTTGACAGAAGATAAGTCGAATCAATGCCTAGATTGTATACCTCTGATTCATTCAAATAATAGTGAATTGTTTGCAGTAGCACAGATACATTCACTCTTTGTGTTCTCGATTAGATCGTCATCAGGCTTTACTCTAATATACATGAATGATTTATATATGAAAATGTTAAACCAATCATGGCAATTTATGAGTCAATAATCACAATGAAATGAAATAGAGTAAGTCACTAATAAGCAGAAGTACAGGTTAATAGTAGGAAGGCAGGTGTACTGTTAATATTAGTAAGAATAATAAAATACGAAGAGTCAGTTAAAAACAATACGCAGTTCTATCTCAGCACACCTAATTGATAGTGGTCATATTGTTGATAATTCTAGATCTTTTCGTATACCTCAATCATTTCCTAACGGAGTTCGATCCCGTCTCCTACACATTGCAGAAGCCATAGGAATTCGTATATTCAACCCCAATTTGTGTTTAGGAGAAATTCGTGACACACCTATCTCTTTCGTGGCTGGATATGACGTAACTAACGATTCAGGATTTTTAAAAATTGTTTTTTCTTTTTTGGTTTAAATTTTTTTTTTGTTATTATTAACAATTTTTTTCACATCCTGTTTTTTGTTGATAATTTTCTGCCTCTTTCCGTTTATATTCTTCACTATCTAAGTATATACACACTTATTACGTAATGGTTTTAATGTTTTGTAATGATTATTTTAAGTCTATTTATCTACGTTTGACCTACTATTGATAAAACTTTTGTTATCGTATTTTATTTTTCTTACTACTATCAGTACACCTGTCTTCCTACTATCAACCTGTACTTTTGCTGCCGATTAGTGACTTACCCTATTTCATTTCATTGTGATTATTGACTCATAAATTGCCATGGTTGTTTTGACATTTTCATATATAAATATTCATGTATTATTAGCGTAGAGCCTGATGACGATCTGATTGGTAAAACAATATTGTTCGCTCATTTCTGTGTTGTTCTAATTTTTCACAATGTGAATCTTTATTATTTTTTGTGTTCTCTTAAATTCTAATCTTCTGAATTATTCATCACCTCTATCTTTCTTTTTTTAGAATTTATTTCACTGAGATATACTTACCGAAATATATCTTCGATCCCTAATTGTTTTGATTATCGTTAATACTTCTACGACCTATACTGCAGACAGACAGACAGATACAACGCAGAACTTCGTACATAAGTACATCAGTTCACGTTGCCATACCACATCAGCACAGAGACGCAACTGTCAGTTCAAATCCAATAGTAGTTGGGATAGTAGAAGTATTAGCAGTAATAGAGAAGATTAGGGAGCGAAGTTATGGTTCGAGAAGTATAATTCAGTAAGATAAATTTAGAAGGAGAAAGGTGGAGATTATGAGGAATTCAGAAGTTTAGAATTAGAGAGAACTCAGGAATAACGTTTCGTGAACTCGCATCGTTTGCATTACCGGTGCTGCGTGATAAAGGAATGTGAGAAGAGTTAGTCGTGGAGATAAGAGAGATGTTATTGGGTGTAGGAAGGATTTGATTTTGACCAATTTGGTCTCGTGTGCTGTTACGGGTATGAGGGCGGTTGTCACTTCTCGGCTGTCCACACCATGGAAGGGTGTTTCTTGAATAACCTGAAGAGGAAAATAGATTAGTGTTGGTCTTAACGACCTGGGTACGTGACCGCAGAGCCCAAGGGACAACTGCCGGCGGCCGGTCACGCCCGGCCTTTTTATGAAACGTTTTTTGAGTATTAGCTCCGTTCTTAAAAGCCCTTAGTGGGCACCCTTACCGACGGAGACGGATATCCGTGAGGTAGGGTGAGGTGTGAGATTTTTAGGGTTTACTTGTTCTAAACCTTTCTTCCTTGTGAGAAGGCAGCATCTCTGCAGATGATGGTTGTCCGAGGGAAACACCTTACTGCTGTCACACCCCTCCACAGTCAGCAGTAAGACTTCGCCCCCAGACCTTGAGTTGCTGCTTTTAATCTCATCGCTCTCCAATCGACCAGCCTGGCATGGTAGAACCTTCAGGGAACATATGTTCCAGTCAATATGGCTCGGTTGGGTCATCAGGATTGGCAAGCCCGACCACCACGTTAAGGTAGCAGCTTCGTTCTGGAACCTATACTGCCATGGAATTTGAATTGACAATGTCATCTCTGTGTGTTTGTCTGTGGTAGCGTAGCATGACAATTTGAACTTAATTACGTATGTACAAAGTTGTACGTTGTAGCTGACTGATTGACTGATTCGGTTACAATTTCGTGTCCACCAGTATCTCACCTCCTTCTGTTTCACTCTAGTTTCTTCATTTCTCACCAATTGCCTATTCAATACTCCATAATTCAAAAATTAAATTACTCAAGTTGTAACCCTTCTTCTTTTTGATTCTGTTATTTTTGAGTATTTTTTTTCAAGAGTTTTCTTATTATTTCTTTACGCGTCATACATAGATCAAGCGACAACAACGTCTTGTAGAATTATCAGGTAATCTTGCCACTGGTGTACGATCTGTTGTTGCTGCTGCTTCAGCTTCCGGTACAAATATTACTGATTATTTAAAACCATCCAATAAATATGAGAATACTGAGACTAAGTTGAAAAAACGTGGTAATAATCATAATCAAAATGATCAAACATATCATAAATTATCAACATCATCATCATCACAACAACCACAACAACAAGAAGAAGAAAGCGAAAATTTCACTGAAAATGAATTACGTACACTTGATGCAGAAAATCAAATGTTATATCGACATTTAACACAAGAAAAAGATGAATTGCATCAAGTAGCTCAAAAAATCTCTGAAATTGGACATTTAAATCAAACTTTATCGGAACATTTAATGGAACAGTTGGAGGTAATGTTCCATACAATATATATATATATATATATATATATATATATATATATATATTTAAGAGTGTTATATTTTGTTCTGTTTGTGTAATTGTTATAATTCTCTTTTTATATTACAACCCAATAGATGAAGTGCTGATACTTCATCAGTTGAGGTGGTTGCGTATGGCTAACCACCGACTGCTGCGACGAGCTATGTTTTACAGTGTAGGAGTAGATTGGAAGAAAGCTAGAGGCGGTCAAACCAAAACATGGCACAAATCCATGAAGTCATTGACAAGTGGACTGAGTCATGTTGGTAGATGTAGGCTACCTGGTTGGGGTCCGCGAGATGATAGTGATCGATGGTTAGAGACCTTGAATGACATAGCTCAAAATCGTTTGCAATGGCTCAGGTGCATCCACTCTTTGTGTTCTCTCAAATCCTAAACTTTTTAATTTTTCATCACTTTATCTTTATGTTTTTAAGTCTATTTCATTTGATTCTACTTCTTGAATAATATCTTCTGATCCTAACTTGTCCGACCACTGCTAATAATTTTACTACCTCTACTACTAATAGATGTGAATCGACAATTACATCTCCGTGCTAATGTGGTATGACAACTGGGACTGATATACGTTTGTATGATACTTTTTAACACTGGATAAGATTCTCGTTGGTAGTTCTGTTTTATGATTTAACAAACTGTTATAAGGTTGATATCTAAAAATTGGATATTTGTTTGAATTTTAATTCTGATAAACGGGTAATTTGAATTTAGAAACTTATAAATTCTGATTGAATTTCGTTCTCTGGACTGGATGTTTTTATTGTGGAGCATTCATTGTTCCTCTTCTGAACAACATTATCAACAGCACAAACTTCAGATAGAGGAAGAAGAAGAAGTGAAGTATTCGAATTTTTCCACGTATGACTCGTAGTTTGTTCTGTTGACCTCAAACTTGATTGATTGATTAAAGTCAATAAAAACCAATCAAGTTTGAGGTCAACAGAACAAACTACGAGTCATACGTGGAGAAATTCGAATACTTCACTTCTTCTACTTGAAGTTTGTACTGTTGATAATGTTGTTCAGAAGAAGAACAATGAAAGCTCCACTACGAAAAGATTCAATCCAGAAAACAAATTCAATCAGAATTTATAAGTTTCTAAATTCAAATTACCCGTTTATCAGAATTAAAATTCAAACAAATATCCAATTTTTAGATATCAACCTTATAACAGTTTGTTAAATCATAAAACAGAACTACCAACGAGAATCTTATCCAGTGTTAAAAAGTATCATACAAACGTACATCAGTTCATGTTGTCATACCACATTAGCACGGAGATGTAATTGTCGATTCACATCTATTAGTAGTAGAGGTAGTAAAATTATTAGCAGTGGTCGGACAAGTTAGGATCAGAAGATATTTTTCAAAAAGTAGAATCTAGTGAAATAAACTTAAAAAGATAAAGTGATGAGAAATTAAAAAGTTTAGGATTTGAGAGAACGCAAAGAATGGGTGCACCTGAGCCATTGCAAACGATTTTGAGCTATGTCACTCAAGGTCTCTAACCATCGATCACTATCGTCTCGCGGACCCCAACCAGGTAGTCTACATCTACCAACATGACTCAGTCCACTTGTCAGTGACTTCATGGATTTGTGCCATGTTTTGGTTTGGCCGCCTCTAGCTTTCTTCCAATCTACTCCTACACTGCAAAACATAGCTCGTCGAGGCAGTCGGTGGTTAGCCATACGCAACCATCCGAACCACTTTAACTGATGAAGTTTCAGCACTTCATCTATTGTGTTGTAATATAAAAAGAGAATTATAACAATTACACAAACAGAACAAAATATAACACTCTTAAATATATATATATATATATATATATATATATATATATATATATATTGTATGGAACATTACCTCCAACTGTTCCATTAAATGTTCCGATAAAGTTTGATTTAAATGTCCAATTTCAGAGATTTTTTGAGCTACTTGATGCAATTCATCTTTTTCTTGTGTTAAATGTCGATATAACATTTGATTTTCTGCATCAAGTGTACGTAATTCATTTTCAGTGAAATTTTCGCTTTCTTCTTCTTGTTGTTGTGGTTGTTGTGATGATGATGATGTTGATAATTTATGATATGTTTGATCATTTTGATTATGATTATTACCACGTTTTTTCAACTTAGTCTCAGTATTCTCATATTTATTGGATGGTTTTAAATAATCAGTAATATTTGTACCGGAAGCTGAAGCAGCAGCAACAACAGATCGTACACCAGTGGCAAGATTACCTGATAATTCTACAAGACGTTGTTGTCGCTTGATCTATGTATGACGCGTAAAGAAATAATAAGAAAACTCTTGAAAAAAAAATACTCAAAAATAACAGAATCAAAAAGAAGAAGGGTTACAACTTGAGTAATTTAATTTTTGAATTATGGAGTATTGAATAGGCAATTGGTGAGAAATGAAGAAACTAGAGTGAAACAGAAGGAGGTGAGATACTGGTGGACACGAAATTGTAACCGAATCAGTCAATCAGTCAGCTACAACGTACAACTTTGTACATACGTAATTAAGTTCAAATTGTCATGCTACGCTACCACAGACAAACACACAGAGATGACATTGTCAATTCAAATTCCATGGCAGTATAGGTTCCAGAACGAAGCTGCTACCTTAACGTGGTGGTCGGGCTTGCCAATCCTGATGACCCAACCGAGCCATATTGACTGGAACATGTTCCTGAACGTTCTACCGTGCCAGGCATGTCGATTGGAGAACGGTGAGACTAAAAGCAGCTACTCAAGATCTGAGGGCGAAGTCGTACTGCTGACTGTGATGGAGGGGTTTGAGAGCAGTAAGGTGTTTCCCTCAGACAACCAGCATCTGCAGCGATGCTGCCTTCTCACAAGGAAGGAAGGGTTAGAAAATATCGACCCTAAAAATGTCACACCTCACCCTAAGTCACGGATTTCCGTCTCCAGCGGTAAAGGTCCCCACTAAGGGCCTTTAAGAGCGGAGCTAATCCTCAAAAAACGTTTCATAAAAAGGCCGTGCGTGACCGGCCTCAGGCAGTTGTCCCTTGGGCTCTGCGGTCACGTACCCAGGTCGTTAAAACAAACACTAATCTATTTTCCTCTCAGGTTCCTCAAGAAACACCCGTTCCATGGTGTTGGCAGCCAGGAAGTGACAACCGCCCCCTCATACCGTAACAGCGCAACGAGACCGAATTGGGTCAAAATTCAAATCCTTCCTACACCCCTAACATCTCTCTTTATCTCCACGACTAACTCTTCGTCACATTCCTTTATCACGCTGAACCGCTAATGCAAACGATGTGAGTTTACGAAACGTCACTCCTGTGTTCTCTCTAATTTTAACCTTCTGAATTCCTCATAATCTCTGTTCTTCTCCTTCTAAATTTATCTCACTGAATTATACTTCTCGAATCATATCTTCGCTCCCTAATCTTCTCCATTACTGTTAATACTTCTACTATCGCTATCACTCTTGGATTTGAACTGACAGTTGCGTCTCTGTGCTGATGTGGTATGGCAACCTGAACTGATATACTTATGTACGAAGTTCTGCGTTGTGTCTGTCTGCCTGTCTGCAGTATAGGTCGTAGAAGTATTAACGATAATCAAAACAATTAGGGATCGAAGATATATTTCGGTAAGTATATCTCAGTGAAATAAATTCTAAAAAAAGAAAGATAGAGGTGATGAATAATTCAGAAGATTAGAATTTAAGAGAACACAAAAAATAATAAAGATTCACATTGTGAAAATTAGAACAACACAGAAATGAGCGAACAATATTGTTTTACCAATCAGATCGTCATCAGGCTCTACGCTAATAATACATGAATATTTATATATGAAAATGTCAAAACAACCATGGCAATTTATGCGTCAATAATCACAATGAAATGAAATAGGGTAAGTCACTAATCGGCAAAAGAAGTACAAGTGGATAGTAGGTAGACAGGTGTACTGATGGTAGTAGTAAGAAAAATAAAATACGATAACAAAAGTTTCATCAATAGTAGGTCAAACGTGAATATAACTAGACTTAAAATAATCCTTTACAAAACATTGAGACCTTTACGTAATAAGAAGTGTGTATATAATTAGATAGTGAAGCAAAATACAACGGAAAGGGGCTAAAAATCACCAACAAATACAGGATGTGAAAATAATCCTAATAATAACAAAATAAAATTTAAACCAAAAAAGAAAAAACAATTTTTAAAAATCCTGAATCGTTAGTTACGTCATATCCAGCCACGAAAGAGATAGGTGTGTCACGAATTTCTCCTAAACACAAATTGGGGTTGAAAGTACGAATTCCTATGGTTTCTGCTATCTGTAGGAGACGGGATCGAACTCCGTTAGGAAATGATTGAGGTATACGATCTAGACTTATCTACACTATGACCACTACTAACCAGGTGTGCTAAGATAGAATTGCGTATTGTTTTTGACTGACCCTTCGTATTTTATTATTCTTACTAATATTAACAGTACACCTGCCTTCCTACTATTAACCTGTACTTCTGCTTATTAGTGACTTACTCTATTTCATTTCATTGTGATTATTGACTCGTAAATTCCCTTGATTGGTTTGACATTTTCATATAAATCATTCATGTATATTAGAGTAAAGCCTGATGGCGATCTAATCGAAAACACAAAGAGTGAATGTATCTGTGCTACTGCAAACAATTCACTATTATTTGAATGAATCAGAGGTATACAATCTAGGCATTGATTCGACTTATCTTCTGTCAACACAGGTTCGGATATTTGAGGGATCATCTAAGGCTTACAAATATGCCAACAGAAAGTTAAATAGTTGAAAAGCATATGCAATCGAAGTGATACTGATAAAAAAATGTTAATGAAAAATTTGACACCTACAAGTACTGAACAAACAATGTGCTCAGTAGTGACTAGCTACGTGATGAAATTATCAGAGTATTAGTGAGAA